GACTCCTTGTCTTGCAAGACTGCAGTTGGTGACATTTTAGTAGGTGACTTAATATACATTCGTTTTTACTATTGGATTAACATTTATTTACCTCCACATGACTGTTCTTTTCATTTTGAAAATATTTCAGGGACAATTTTTCATACTCCAGCATGGTATAATCAAGATTTTTCAGGTCTAGGCATCTCCAGAGAATTTGCTGTTGAAGTTCTCCAACTCCCAACACAAAGGTACTCATTGACTTTATTGGGGAGGGAAGCTGGTCCCTTTTTCTGGCTCTACAAATGGCTTGTGTCTGAGCAGGAGGTACCAGAAACACCATGGCTTCCCATTGCATCTTGTAAGAACAGAAACCCACCTGTGTCCAGGAGGTTCTTTGCCAGGTAGCACTAATGGACTGTGTTTCTTTTCACAGGCACCAAAACCAAGGAAGGCGTAGTGCAAAGTGTGACCTCGGGTAAGAGCACAGCCCTGAGAGAGATGTGGAAATCTGTGATGATTTGCTAGACCTCTTGGTAAGGCTGTCACCCTGGCCAAATGGAAGGTCTGTAGGGGACACCACTGGTCTGCATGACCTTCCATTTGATGAATGGAGGATGCTTGCCAGGAGCAGAGGTTCAGGGTCTGACATTTGCAGTGCACACGGATGGGAGAAAATATTTAATCAGTAGAGCAGGTTAGAAAATTCTAACAAAGGTTACTTGGCAGACTGGGATGATTCACAGCAATTTAGACATTTCACAATGTCAGGTGTGCTGCTCAGCATGCAGAGAGGATTTACCTGCATCAGAATCTGTTGGGCATAAACTGTGGTCTTTGGGAGACTCCTGTGGGGCAGCTGCAGTCAGGGACCCAAAGAATTTCTTTTAGGGTATCCCAAGCTCCAAGGCAGAGCAGCCATATGAACTGCCTTGAAAGATGAATGGATCCTTTTCCTGGAGAAATTAATAACAATTATTTTTTTCTACGCAGAGGTATTAAATCAAACAGAAGGTACCCAGGAAGAGGTCATGCACAGTCTGCAACACAAAATATCTTATCCACACTATTGTCTCTTAGTATCTGACAGTGAATGTTTCATTCTCCAGTTGCCCACAAAGACTGACAGGCTGCAGTGCTGCTCTCTGAGGAGCATTTTCAGTCAGACAAAATCCATCTTGTACATGATCTAAATTCAGACATGATGTCATGTAAAAAAATTCAAACAAGGACTGTGCCAGGGCCAATTTCTTCTTTTACCTCAATGCAATTATTTTATTGTCCCAGGGAATTGGGCAGCCTTTTGGTAGTCTAACTCACTGTCTGTCTGCTTTTGTTGAAACCTCAGTTGCTGAGAAAACCAAAGAGCAGGCCAACGTGGTCGGAGAAGCTGTAGTAGCCAGCGTGAACACAGTGGCAAACAAGACTGTAGAAGGAGCAGAGACCATCGTGGCCACTACAGGAGTTGTAAAAAAGGTATGTTTGTTTGTTTCTTCAGTGATGTGCAGGATAAAAAGAGTTGCCTTTGGATTACACTTGGAAGACCTGCAATCATTTACTGTTGATGGGTTTTACTTATTTAATGAAAGGTTTTACTTATTTAATGAAAGGTTTTCAGCAGTATCTGCTTCTGTATAACAATTTTATCATACAAAGCCTAATAGAGTCTTATTTAGTTTATCCAAATACCACTTGACATCACCCAGTACCACTCCATTAGGTCAGTGAGAGATGACTGTGTCCGGTTGGGTTTTGATTATCTCCACGGATGGAGTCTCCACAATATCCCTGGGCAACATGTGGCAGTGTTTGACCACCTATGAATGTAGAAAAGCATTTTTCCTAGGGACTTGAGCAGAAATATGGCTGAGCTGCAGTAAGCACCTGGGCAGAGTCAGAGCTCTGGGATGTGCAGGATGGGAGGGCACGGGGTCTCAGGAGTTACCCTCACACCTCTGTCATGCTGGTGGGGTGCACAGCCCTGGCCCTGGCCCTGGCAGCTCCGGAGGCAGCAGAGGGCAGCAGTAATTCAGGCACAGCCTGATTCCAGCAGAGAGCCTGACCCTGCTGCTCTGCTTCGTGCTGATTTTGACAACATCCAAGCACTTATTGATAATGGCCGTGTGACCCAAACTGTGCACGGATTAAGCCAGATTCAGACAAGGCATCTTTTGTCCTCCAACCTCATTTGACAAACTGAGCTGCTTCAAGTGGGGGATTAAGGGGCATGTGAAGGAGCGGAACAGTTCCTGGGATGAAGGCACTGCTGATCATTAGAGAAGATGCTTTCACCGGGTGGTAACAAACAGCGACCATTTGTACAGCACATGAGGCTAATATTTGGCAGCTCTTTGGTAAAGACCAGCTCTTTCCCCTCTTCAGAGAGCTGTGACCCATGGTGTTGATAGCCACATGAGCTAGATGAGTCACAACAGACCCAAACCGAGAATCAAAGCAAAGCCAGGCTGGCCAAAATTGTTGTAATTGTTCAGAGAGTCGGCTGATTAATTTCCTGATCTGCACGTAAACACATTGTGATGTGAAACAAAACTTCTACACAGCATATAAATCCTGAGAGAATAGTCTAACAAAAAGAGGAGAACGGCAGCGACGAGTGACGCAAAATGCCCTCCTGAAAGCTTGTGAAAAAGGCAGATACAGGAGTTCTGCTAAGCCCTTGGGATACGATTAATCTCTGTTCCCAGAGGGGGCATCAATTAGGCTGCAGGAGTGCAGACAGTGATTCCTAATTCCATGGGGCCAGACTACCCTCTCCTACCTTTTGACTGACTGGGAGCGGGTGATTGACCCAGGAGAGTCAGGAATTTGCTGACGGTAGGAATCCATCCTGCAGATATTGAACTGTCTCCCCTGTGGCAAAGGCTGAGCAGCAGCAATCCTCTTCCCCTTTCCTCCTAAAGGAGAGCCCCTCTCCTCACCCCCAGCCTTCTGCCAAAGGCTGGCGGCTACAGTTTACAGATAATTTCAGAGCTCAAACCACTCAGTGTTATCTGTTTCTATCTTTGTGAAGGTAATCCCTTAGAAAATCAGTGATTCCTTGGTCCTAGTAGCTTCTGGGTTATGTAGACTGCAGGCAATATACAAAGCTGTGAGTTTTCCAGAGGATTAAAGCATCAAGCATCTGAACTGCCATTCTAGCATCTCCCATCGATGTCTGACTGCTTAGAGTTAAAATGGAGACGGATCAAGAAATAAAAAATTAGGATGTGTCACATGCCAAAGGGCAGACTAAATGGAGCCAGGAAACTGCTTTGGATACAGCATCATAGTGTCATGCCAAACAGCAGAATTGGGCAGCAGAATGAAAACAGGAGGAGAAAAACAAGATAAAAGAAGTCACAGGAGAAAGAAATTAATGAAAAACTTTGTTTCTGTGAAAGAGGGGTCATCTATTCTACTGGTTTAGTTCAGCTTAGTAGTGCAAATCTTTTATTCATCCTCACTCACCATACTTCAGCATCTATCTAGATAGCTTTTGGATCTAACTAGACATGGAAAATTGAGTTCTGTGTGCACACCGAGTGCATCCCAACTGCTAATGGTTAATTGCCATGGAGCCAAAGCTGCTTCAGAGGGAGGGCCCTGAAAGGAGTATAAGGGGTTATGCTGGGCTCTCAGCACAGGCTGTTTTTCTCCAGATCTGCTCCTATTGTGTTCCACAATTTGCTAATGGAAATACAGCCAGTGTCTGCCAAGAGCAGCACTGGGTACTGTAATGCATGTGGAAGACCCACTGGAGATACACTGAGAAGAATGATAAGATAAAGCAATTAGATGTTTAAACAGTAAATACCTACTGTTATAATCTTGCAGTCCAGGAATCATACACAAGCATTTCAGCCCCTGAAGTTTGAGAGAGCTGTTACATCCAGTCCTGAGACTTGCTTGTGCTTCATCCCATCCTCCTTCTTTCTAATTGCACAGAACATTTGCTGACATCTTATTTCAGTTTTCAACTATCTCCAGTGTTATTCCCTGCTGACTTTATAGAGGGGTTGTTCAAAGAATCTGTGTTGTGGGGTGACTCGAGTCTGGAGGGTCAAGTGGCCCAGGAGGCACGTCCCCAGCTGAGCATTCCTAGTATTAATATCAATTACGGAGAGCTCGTTGACATTTAATCTGTGCATCTGACAGCTGGGATCAGTGGCAGGCACATACTAGCAAAGAGTAGGGGACTCTTAGGATTCTGGGTTAAGTTTTGTTCAGGGTGGCAGCTGTGGGGTGGTTGAGCTCTGAGGATGTATCGCATGGTGACTTTGACCATGGGAAAGAATTCAGGCCTTTTTGGATCATGGCAGGCACTGAAATGTGGACACCCGTGGGGCAGTTGGCAGCCTGCTACTCCTTGCTGTCCTTGGTGGGAGCACTCAGAGCCATGCAGAAGGAAACGGGGCTGGTAACTCTATGCCTATGGAGAGGTGCCAAGCACCAGATGAGAACAACCTTGAGTAGTATTGGCATTGCCTAATAGGGCTTTGTCCCTGGCCTGGCCACTGCTCACTGAGTGCAAGAAAGTACTGACTGATTGGAAGGAGTTTCTAAGTATTAACAAAAAACTATGGAAGTTAAGAGATCATGAACCCTCCACAATTTTTCTGATACCCGAAGAAATGAAACTCATCAGGAATGTGTTCTGTCTGTGGCTCTGTACCCATCCTAGTGCCTGGGATGGACATTAAGAGATTCTAGTGAGATAACCACCCTCTATATATCCCTGTCTTAGAAGAGGGTTAATTCTTCGTCTATATGACGCAACACAGAGCTTGCTGCAATGCAGACACCATGTGCTTGGGATCAAGCACATGTACATACACACCCTCACAAAATGTCCCTCAGGGTTTGGAACAATTCCCCCAGTAGCTGATGCTTCCCTACATCCTCTTCCCTTTAGATCTATTTGTCCTGTCAGGTTTGATACGATTTAGTTGTCAGTTCATGGCTCTGTCACTTTGAATTGGGTTTGATCTTTTTTTTTCACTTCATTAATTATTTGAGCAGTTGTCAGCTAGGTGCAACCGCTGGGTGCGTTCGTTGGATCACAGTGTTTCTCCATGCACGTGTTCCACACCCACACTGTGGCTCAAGGCTTTCATAACAACTGAACATTTCAATTGTGAGTGGCTGACATTCATGGCCTTAATTATGTTCACTTACACCCTGCCACTGGTGCTAAGATAGTCGCACCGAAGGAATTAAACACAGAAACTGAGTGACCTTCCTTTTTAGGTTATTTTGGGCAGGGCAAGTGCCACTAGGAGGGAGCAACTGAGGGCATCTAAGAAGCCCTGGAGGGCAGAGCTGCTAAGCAGGAGGAGCAGGGCAATCAACAGCCAAACTACCTTACAATTAAGTAGAACAAATAGCTGAAACTCTTCCCCTTTGTATTCAAGCTTCACTGTACTTCAGTGATGCAGTGATGCATCCTGGTGGTATTCTTCCACATCTCATGAAGCAGGGGACACTGCAAAACCAGTGTGGAGCAGGGTACTCTGCCCACAGGCTCTTTTTCTGTGCTTCCCTCTCAGTCTCATTAGTGCACCCAGGCATGCATTTTGCCATGCAAAATAGCTGAGTTAGTGGCACTGGTGAACTTAAAGTGTACAAGACTGTGTGTTCATGCCTCAAGGGAGGCCCCAGCAATCCTGTAGGATACACTGTTAAATATGTATTATTTGTATAAACAGTCCCATGAAACTGAGAGTGTCTGGCTGTGAGCTGGATGAAAACAAAGCTACCCCAAGAGCCCACCTGGATTTGTAGGGTAAGACAGGAATCCTGCCTGCCCTTCTGTCTGTCCTGTTGGTGGGTCCACTCACTTTAATCATGGGTTGACCTCTTAGTCAGAGCAGCTAGCATCACTCTGAGCACATTCAGCCTGAAACCTGTACAGGACAGCTCGTCCATAGGACCTGTCAGGCTGCCTGAGGGTTTACAAGGGAGTGGTTTGGCCATGCTGCCAAGTAGTATTGTGTTTGCTCCAACGCCCAAGGTCAAGAGCACTACAGGAGGCTGAACCTCTCGGCCTTATGCAATTGATGTCGCATTCAGGGCTGTTAAATTTGTAGCAGATTAGGTTCCCAGTGAGCCTCTCTGGCTTTTTGGCCTTTAAACAATGACAATAACAATAAAGAAATCTTGTTTGCCATTGAATTTGTTGAGATTTTGATGAGTATAGTCCAACATCCAATATTTGGACTGCTTTCTCTGTTATATAAGGAAGATAATCCTAATGAAGTTGTTTATGTCCAAATTTTTGGGAATGGCAAAGACAACCCATTGGCCTATAACATAATATAAATAAAAATATAAGTTTCATGTATGTGCTCAGCCAGTAAAACATACAACTCAATTGCTGAGCTGGAAAAGTGAAGTTCCTAGAACCTGTGAAAATGAGAAATCTGAGGAACCAAACTGTAATTAATTTTTTCAACATTTCTGGGCCTTTGAAATCAGTTTTTAAAAAACATATTAAAATATCTGAACCCAGAAGCCTATAGTACAGACTATTTAAGATCTCAGAACATTGCACAGGAATATTTTTATAAATGTCAGGTCCTAATTTGTTGAGTTTTTCATTAGTGATAGCTGAACAGGTACCTGTTTCATAATCCTAGTGAAATACTGTATTCTATATGTATAAATCTTCTGTAGTGTATACATCCTATATACAAATATAATTTTATACACATAAAATATTTACAAACTTGTATAGTATTCCTGTAAGGAATTCTAAGGTCTTGTGTTTCACTTTACTATTATGTTAAAGTACTTCATTTTTCTGTCTTCACTAGCAAAAAAGATTCAACTGGCTCCCCCAAAAATAGAAAACAGCCCATGTCAAACTATTTTTTTTAAATTTAAAATACTTTTCCTAGGGCAATATTTCATTTCTGAGGGGGAATAATCTGCTTGCCCTTTAAGAACAGGAGGAGTGTTACTAATTATTTCATGGTTTCAACATGCCTTTGCCTTAGAAAATCTTATCCCTTTTAATGAGGAGGTGAACACAGAAGGGAATGGCAAAATTCTTGCTGTCCCCCAGGGAAACTAGAGTGTCACCCTTACTTTCTTGCCCAGCATCCTGCCATGAGTCAGTGTCATGGCTGGAGCTGGTACCCAGGAATTTCTGGCTCTTCATCCAAAGGGAAGACCCTTACATCACATGGTCCTCCTCTGTATATTGTTTTCCTGAGAGTCACTGAGATCCCCAGCCAGCTAACACCCAGCTGAAGAATGCAGCCCTTCCTCATCTAATGCTCACTAATCTGGGCAGGGTGGGAAGCGCGTGAGAAAAAGGCTGTGAGGTGACATCCCTAATGTGGCCTGACACCTCTTCATCCTGCGATTGTGCTGGTTCCTCTACCAAAGTTTAGAAACAGTCTCCAGAAACACGGTGGCTTCCCTTGCTAAAAATAGATGGATGAGTCATTTCTATCCTTCTGGAGCAGAGTCTTGGCAGAGAGCACAATTTAAGGGATATAATAAGCCACACAATAGCTGAACTGGGATTCTTCAGCCCACCCACTGCTCTCAGATTCAGTGTCCTGAGGGTGGTCCTGAGAAAGTTATCCCTTTTTGTGGCTCTTTGCACATCTACAAGACCCAAGCTCCCTACCCACATGAACAGTAAGTGTTCATACCCTGTAGAAAGATGGAGTGCAGTGCACTCGTCCTTGTGTTCCTGTGAGGGGTCCCCCAGTTTTCCCAGCACAACTCAGTACCTTAGACAGTCACCTTTGATTGACCATCATGATTTCACACAGCTGCTGGTAACTCCACCTGCAAAACCCCTACGAAGCACCTGCTGTTGCAGCTATTGTCATTGGCTGGCATTGCAGGTTTCTTTTCTTTCCAACTAACAGTCAAAAAACTGCTTGTAAGGCTTCAAAATTAAATTTAAGCTCATTTATCTGCTTTGGCCTATTGTTCGCTGTTGAGTTATAAAGTGTGGTCCTTTTTATATGGCCCTAGATGCTTGTGAAGTGTTTTTTAAATCCACAGACTGGATCCTGAGGCCACGTGAGCCTTCATAAATTCAGAGTAGTGAGCTGTTTGCTGACAGGACAGCTGACTTGTTTCAGAAAGGCTGTGGCTGAGTGGCTCCATCAGAGTGGTGATGTCCCCCCCAGCAGCCACAGGTCCCTGCTGTGCTGGGAGAAACTCTCTTTCATGATGTGCACAATTTGATGTCCTCAGGTTACCTGGGCTTACTTAACAGAGCTTAGGCTGGTACTAGCAAGAATCATTTCAGCCAACAATGTGATGCAAATTAAGGGCACGTTCCTTAGAAAAAGTAATCACACTGTGCTTTTCACCTGGAGACACCACCAGTGCATGGTGCTCTCCACAAACAAACTAATCAACTCTCAGCAGGGAGATGAAGGAAATGCCAGCAGCTGTGACAGACATCAATACTGGACTGCAGCTTGTATTTTGGCTATTTTCTGCCTTTGGTGGATTGATCTTATGGTAGCTTGCGTGGAGAGCAGGAAGCCCATGGTAGGACAAATAGGTTTCAGTGCTTCCATCTCCCAGCTCCCCTTCCTGACACAAACGGCTCTGAAGTCAAATTTCCAGCTTAAATTTTCATGGGATTTATCTTATGTCTATGTAACTCCATCTAATTTTTTCTTTTTATTTCACATCACCTCTTCTTCCCTAATTCTGTCCCAAAAGTAGCAGGGGTGTTCTCCTGCTGATGAGCACCATTGAGTCTGGACAGGAAGATAAGGACGTGTAAAAATTAAAGACTGGAGTCCCCCAAACATGTCTGGACAGGAAGATAAGGACATGTGTGAAAATTAAAGACTGGAGTCCCCCAAACACATGGAACATAAAGTTCTACTTACAGTAGGTTTGGCAAGGTTTGGTACAGTAAGTTTGGCAAGTACAGAGTTTGGCTAAGAGATTTGATTTGCACTGCATCCACAGCAGCACCAGGGAAAGTAGTGCCCTCGTGTTTCCAAAATGTTGAAATTCAAACTATATCTTCTGCCTTCCATGCAAAATTGATTTTCCCTTTATGCAATATATGTGTCTCCAGTTCCCTGTATGGTGGCCATGACCTCATGTGGGAAAAGGGAGTAAAACTTCAGGGAAACTGTTGGGCATGTGTACTTAAAGGGAACAGAGAAGTTTGTCATTTTAGCTGAGTTTCCCCATGATTTGGGGCCAGCCTATAGAGGTCCTGCTATTTCTGCTATTTCTGCTTTCACTGGCTGATTCCACACAGGTGAGCTTCTGCTTTCCATCCACCCCCTGTGCACATTCAGTGTGGTCAGGATTTTGTCATATCTTCTACCATGTGGCCAAATTATGTTTAAAGTGATTGCCTGGTAATACAACTTTTTCTCCTCTTCTTTGGATAGGAAGGTAGCTGAAAGATGCAGGCAAGTAGCTAAAGGAGCCCCAAGTGCTTATGAAAATGCTTGGACTCAAACACAAAGAAAAGCTTATCCTTTGCTAATGACATTTTTTCCAAAGCAGGACATTAACACCACCACAGCACTGCTATCTCTGAAATGTACTACTCTATGCAATGAGTGCTTAGGGTATGTAAGATAATGTGGGGAAAGGCTGGGCATGATCTGTCTTACTCCAGTTAAATTCATTTGTTCCACTCAAATTTCTGCACACTGAAGGAGTCAAAACTCTGGTCTCAGTGACAGAAAATAAAACTTCAGAAAAAGAACTCATTTTCTGTGTGACAAAGACCCTAAACCAGGTTGTAAGAAATTGAATTGATTTTTCATAGATACCTGCTCTAACAAGCTGCACAAAATTTGGATCTCAAGCAATATTTGCCATCTATTAAAGCTGGGATTTATTTGCGTGTGTAATGCTTGATATCAGTGTCACACGGTCTGCTCAAATAGTCTAAGATTGGGGTGATAATTCTGCTTGTGGTGGCAAGGACAAACATCTCACTTTTGACTTGGCAGGAGGACCTGGCTGGACTGGAGCCACCCGAGCAGCCCAGGGTGGCAGGAGAGGGGGCAGCAAGCACAGGCGGTGGTGGAGAGGTAAGGTGATGCCACAGCCCTGATTTCCCTGTGGTGCACAGGATCTCTGTACCACATCTGGGCTTTTCCTGAGTTACTGGCTTCCCCCCCCACCAGTGGAATCTCCCCTCTGATTCCTGTGGTTATAGATCTGCCACAAGAGGAGCCCATCAGTATTCCACCTTTCCCAAGTTTTGACCAAAAATGGAGCTCATCATGTCTCACTTTTTCCACTTACTTTTTGGGGACCAAGAATTTGCCATGAGTGATAGATGGGCAGATTGTAAACTACTGCCTGATCTGCATAGATTTTGGGGTGTAAATGTGCGTATAAAAGTTAATGCTTTCCTGTGGTTTTATCACATGGAACAGCTTTTTCCTGGCTGCAGCCATGCTTTAGAAGGGCTTTAGATAAAAAGTTAGCTTTCCTATAGATTTTTTCATATTTAAATTAGTTCTTTTAGTTTTTGATCTGTTCTACCTGCAATGTCCTTTTGAAACCCTGGGTCAAATGTCAGTCTTTGGGTCAATTTCAGCTCTTGAGCAAAGATGACTCAGTGTCCAATATGGATGCTCTAAAAGGGCAAATGCTTCTCGTGTGGTATTTCATTTACAATTTCAGTCCTAAGGCCCTTGGCTGCTCCTCAAGACACACAGTACTGCATATGCCCAAACCCCAGAGTTTTCAGTTTTTCTGAAGCTCAGGCTCTTTCCATGGTGCCTGAAGCTCCTAAAAGTCTCAGTTTGTACCTACCACCCTCTGCCAGCCATGACCCTCTACATCACAGGAATGAGCCTTGCTAATCCAAATGACCCTGTGGCTGCACCAGGCTGCAGGTTGGGGTGGGAAGCAGAGCTGACAGCAGAAAGCAGGACACTCCTGCCAGTGACAGCACAGCCCCATGTTAGCTTGACTTCCACCACGTGTGAATTCACACCTCGTTACAGCAGAATGTGTCTGGTTTCCAGAATGAATGGAGAAGTCATTTATTTTCTGCACCACATATAGTCCTCATTGTTTTGTAGCTGTTCATGGGGGTTTTTTTTTGTGGTGACTATCAGCATTGATTTTTGTCTTAATTTTATTTGTATATCTTTTCCACTGGAAATATTTAACTGTTTTCCTATCTGTCTTCTCCTCAGGGTGAAACTGAAGGCAATTCATCAAGTTAGGGACTTCTAGCTCAAAACAAACCATTCCAAGAGCATACATGGAAATATTAGCTGACACAACAACAGGAAAATCTCGCTGTCCATAGACTAACTACATTCAGCTCTGTAGTCTTTCACTTGCATCATAAACTTACAATATATGTAACCCAGACTCCTCTGATTGTAAGTAAAGCACAGGTGTGTACCAGGGTGTGTGTCCTTCCCCACCTCCCTCCTGGCTTCCCAACCTGCTTGCTTTGCATATTTTGGTTGGACTCACTGCTCTGTCTCTCATGTCCACCTGTACTAGCACTTGGGATCTCTAGGTATTGTGGAAATATTTTTTTTAAAACTAATAAAAATGTGTTTGAACAAGCTTTTTGTCTTGTCAGTCTTATTTGCACATTTTAGATGTGGATCCTTCCAAACTGATGCACTCTTCTTGTAAAAGTGCAGTATTAAAATATAAGGATCTTAAAACTCTAAGTGCCTTAAATTGTGTTTTAAAAGATGGAGAATCATGAAAAACTGTATTTCTGAAGTCAGTAGCAGAGGTAGGCAAGCTTTCTCTCTCTCAGGTCTGAGAAACAAATATTTCACTTTTTAGATACTTGCCATATTTAAAAGAGTGTGATTGGATATTGGACACTTTCAACCTGAAAGTGATGTTGAGCTCAGTTAGCGTTTGTTCTTTGCTGTTTATCCTGCTTACACCAGAGATTGAAAACTTTATGCTGACATCTGGGTGTAACAAGCAGCTAGAAGCTAATAAAAGAAATATGATGGGATCTGGGTGACCTGGTAGATCAGAACTGCATTACTCTGCTGCCAAGGGCAGGCAGGATTGCTGTGAAATGCATGACCCTGACAGCAGGTGCCAAAGGAGAATTTGCAGGTGCACCATGAACATGGGGCTGGTATCAGTTACAGCAGTTGGTCAGGCTGCAGATAAGCTGCTGAGTGAGAGTAGCAGACACCATCTATATTCACATACATAGAGAATGGAAAAATGTTGTTACAAATCTCACTGCTGTAAACAATAAGGATAAGCTTAAAGCATGTCAGTAGGTCTGGGTCTAAGAGTGTGTTCATCTACCTACCTACAGGCAGAGCACCCACGAATCCAGGAAAAAGCCAGTAAACTGTAGAGATGTAAACTGCTTCAAAATCAGACCATTAATCTTCATTAAGCTGCATAACGATGATGACTACAGAAGATATTATAGGAGAGATTGTTGTGACAGAAGGATCTAGCAGGGGTGCTAGCAGCCTCTCTCGTGCATTAACAACACATGTAAAGCTTTGCCTTGCAGAGACTACAGGATTTCCATTCAAGTGCATGTTTGATCTCAACACAGAAAGGGAACAAAAGAACACTAGCAGAGGTAACAAGGCTCCTCAAAGGAAGTTATATCCAACATGTGCATACTCTTTTCTGATGTCCTGCAAAACATCTGCCAATTAACCAGAGTAACTAAAATTGAGGCCAAGGTAAGAGAGCATAGAGATACTCATGCCTAGCAGCAGGAGACTGGAGTCTATTCGTGCTCACTAGAGAGAGGCAGGGGAAAATTCCTCTGCTCCAAAGCTTTGTTTCATAGGGGTACAAAACAGGAGGTGAGTGCCTTTGCTAGGGACAGCACATGTGGGAGGCAGGGGCAGGTAGTGGCTGGTCTAGTCCCATTGCAGTCAGAGCCCAGAGGAGTGTTTATGCATCTTGCACAGACAATCACAAGCCTTGAAGACAGAGCCCAGGACATGCAGTTTCCTCCCACGTGAGTGCCCTGCGACAGTGAGTGGGAACAGGGTAGTGCTGTGCCCATGCAATGGCTCAGTGAGCCTCTGTTTCCTCCCTGTCCCTTCCTCAGACTGGATGTCACCTAGCCAGGGGGAGCAGAAGTGCCTGTCTGAGCTGCCTTTGTCAGAGGAAAGAAAGGTGAATACTATTTTCTTCTGAAGTAGAAGGGTCTGTCACCAAAGAGACAAAATATTATCTACTAATTATTCAACTACACTTTGTTGCATGTCTGTTTGGTTCACTGCATGGAAAAGAAGGCTGTGCTTTTAATGAGTATTCAGACATGTGTAACAAGAGGAGATGGAAGGAAAGTGAAAAGTGAAAGGATGGAGGAGATGTACCAGAAAACATCCCCCAGGAGAAGCTGCTTTTTCTAGGGAAGTGCTGGGAATCCACTCGCACTAGGTAAAAGCCGAGGAGGTAAACACTAAAAAAAAATTATTTTTTTCTCACAAGTCATGGTCTGGATGATCAAGAGTCTCTTTTACTCATCTCACCCTGTGAATTATTTAAGTGGGCTTTGTATACGTGATACCACTCGCAACCAAGTTGTTAATTTAATCTCACGGTGATGAGGCAGCGCGCGGTGTCGGTCGCAGCAGGGCCATGGTCTGTCCCAGTGACATGACTCTGGGAGCTCATGCTCCCACCTGTGTGGTGACCCAGCAAGCCAGGAGCAGCTGCTGCCAAGTGTTGCATCAACTGCACTATGCAAGTGACCAACAAAGTGCTGAAAAACACTTTTTTTCCCCTTGTAACAACAAAACTTACTTAACTGCAGTTAAGCTTTATTAAGTGATTTGTTCTGATACAGTTCATAGCCTTTGAGAGCTTCCCCTCCAATTATGTTTTAGCTAAGAGCTGAAGGGCATGCAGGGCCTGATTTTTCAAAGATGTCTCTCAGGGATGCAGAAAAGAAAGCAGTGGTTCTGGACAGAATATCCCAAAATGTATTCCACTAGTTTAAATGCAAATCAGGTAATAACACACTTAAAATTCCACTTCTTCTGAAAGTTCTATTTTTGTGTCTGCATAATGTAGGTCCTAAAACTGACCTCAAAGAGCACCTGATTAACAACTGAAGGGTTGTTTTTTAATACTGTTCCCTATAAAATATATACAATCACTCACCTCTTTGATACTTTTTTATGTATTGAAACCTAGCTTAACTGTTTCGTAAATGCATCGAAACCCTACCAAATCACAAGAAGACAGCCTGTCAATCCAGAAAAGCTCAGATTAAAACTGAGCTCTCTGAACAACAGGCAAACCCCTGCACACATGACTTTGCAGCAGCACAGTTTCTCTATCAAGCTTTGGCACTGCCTTTTTTTTTTGCATGGATCCCAGCACGGGAGGCAGGCAAGCTTGGCAGCTCAGCTTCTCCAAATTTCCTCTCCCATGAGCCCAGGCTGAGTGTGCTGCAGGAGGGCAGAGCCACAGTGCTCCTTCCCATGCCAGATCTTAAGCTGGTAGTCAAGCCTTTCCCACCTTCTTACCCCTTCTGAGTTAAAGACCAGACAATTTTTTTTTGTCTTTCCTAGTCCTGAAGCTGCAGCAGATCATGAAACTCCAGAGCAGTCCCAGTATTTAAGCATAGTTTGAGGTGCTCCAGAAGAAGGTAGAAACTGGACACTTCTCCCAGATGCTGCCTCAAGATGCAGAAACCAGAAGATAAAGAACTCTGTATGTTGATCCTGTGCTTTGAAGATGAGCTGACTGATGATTCCTGGAGGATGTTACTACCTGTGTAATGGAAGTAGTCAGACCTACTTTTTGCCCAGAACTGTATATCAGTATTTGAACTGAAGGTCTAATTAACTTACTTAGAACAACTTCAGTTTGATCCTTTAAATGACTAACATATGATTTACAATAATTATATATTTTTATAAGCAAACCGTTCTAGCTCTTAAAACAAATCTGTTTCATGAAATAACCACGTCCCTTCTACATTGATATCAGTCTATTTTAGCAGCTGTGGATGTTGAACACCACACACCTTGTTAACTTCTGGAGTGATCTGTGTAAAACTTTTCAGCCCTGACACACCATTGCATTTGCCTTGCTGATGGAAACCATAACCTATCTATAAATCCCAACCCTGATAAAATGAAAACTTCAGCAAACCCAAATAAATTTCAATGCTTCTCATTTAAGTAACCTCCTTTGCCCCTTTTTCATGTGTAAAACATTAGCTCTGATCAAGTACTTCTCACCTTCATCAGGTAATGAAAGAGCAGGGTTCATGGCAGTGATACGAGAGAGTGCTCAAAAATGCCATAGAAGTGATGTGAAAGGAAACCAGGACAATTTCTATTTTTCCTGTGGTGTATAAATTTAACTCACATCTATCTAGCCTGCATGTCTGGAGTTACAACTATTTCCAGTGCTATGGATCATGGAGCACTCCTAGCCCTTAAGGAGTCAGTTTTGGGGTTTTTCCCTCCAACACAAAATCACAGGCAACAGACTGTGTGTTTTTTTCCCTCAAACACAAAATCACAGGCAACAGACTGTGGAGGTGCATTTCAGAAGACTGCACATTTGAAAACTGGCATTCTTGTAAACATAGCCACACAGGGCTGTGCTGGGCAGTGGCAGGTGTGGTGAAGTCACAGGAAAGGCTGGTGCCCAGGTGGGGCATGTGGCTCATCAATGAGCTCAAACACTTCCTCATGACTCTTGCAAGAGACTCATGGGAGCCCATCACAAACACCTGCTCCAAGGAGATGTATGCAGTGAAATGTGAGTCAGATACCTATACCTTGACCAGGACAGGAATGAATTTAAAGCCATATGGTTAGTTGACTTAGTTCATTAATACATAATTAGAAATAAGTTACTATTTCTACTTCCTTACTCAGGAAAAGCTTTCAACAGTTCCACTTGGGATAGTATTCTCTTTAGAGGACAGGAGAAGGTTAAATTGTTTGGAGAAATAGTTTTCTACAAAATCCAGGGATAGGTCTGATCTAGATTAGTAGTTTCAATATTCATAACAGAACAAAAGGAAAACTCACGGATAAATTGCTGCAAATTTCCAAACAGATGAAATTAAAAGCCTCATTTTACCTCAGGTCAATCAGCCTGTTTATATCTGAACACTCTAATCTATATCTAATATCAGTTTAAAGGGCCTCGTATTAGCTTAAAAAAAGTAATGTTAACTCACACAGTGAATAAACGTGATGCAATATATTCTGTTAATTTTCTAATATGGCTTTTTAACTCTGTGCACAGACTGTTTGTCCTGTCATATGGGCTAGATACATATTATACCCAAGGTCCCTCTTCCCTCTGCTCTGGGCTGCATTATAGTGATGATGCCATGTCAATTTGCCAGGCAAGGATAATTTGTTTTCTTTTTTTTCTGTTTGGAATCAGGATAATGATATTAATGCTAAGGATAAGATTACATTAGATGAGGAGTCATGCTGCTATCCTGTCAGCAGCATAGGTTTTACTCAGGAATTCACACTGCTTAATGTTTTGGGCAGGAAGTAAAGCAAGCAGCAACACACATCAGACACCCATATCGAGCCTGAAATGCTGAACAAAGATTTCCACTTGGAAGAATAATAGTTGGAGTTGGAGAAATCTAGATAGCTGTCAGAGCAGATTTAAAGAGCAATATTTACCTGAACTGCTTAGGAATTTTTTGCTAGAATGCGGTGCATGTTTAATGCTTGGTGTAAGAATTCATCAGTTCTAAATGTTCTCCCAAACTCTTGTTCGTCTCTTCATGCAAACTACCCCAGCCAGCATCTCTGGGGCTCTTGTGCTGAAAGTCCATCAGCAGAAAAGATCAGGGAGGGCAGCTGGAAAATATTTGCTGCTGGAGCCTGGGCATGTCATCTCTTGAGTTATGACAAGCTGCCTGAAGGGTGCTGGAGAGCCTCTTCCTTCCTTTCACTATCACCCTGCACAGAGTTACTTGAGACAGCAGTGACCTGGCTAAGGGGACTGAGAACAGCTGAAATCCACCCATTTGGTATGGCTTTGTGTTGTGGCTGTGTTCTCTGGTTTGGGCAAGAAAGATAAGTAGGTCTATGCTCGGGGTTTTGTATGAACAAATGCCAGAGCCCCACAATACTAGGTGTCTTTTTATCTGAGTTTTTACAAATCCAAGTAAGAAAATCATTCCAAAAAAAGAAATCAGCAAGGAATTGAGTAAAGATGCCTGATGTGAATATATAATTAAGATTCTAATTTACCCATCAAGGGGGAAAAAGGATTGTTGTGTGAAGTAACAAATGAGTGGTGCAAAAGTTGGAAAGATGTCTTTGGAATGACAGGCAGAATAGGAGTGGCTGAGGAATGCATAGAACCTTATTTTCTGTGACTCTTCCTCACTTGGGTACTAATGAAGTACTAAACTTACGAGAACTGTCAGTGCCCACCCTAGTTTATCCATGGCATCTTGTTCTTGTGCCTATTTCCCAACACAAAGCCTTTCTCAGGAAGATGAATATGGGTATGAGTGTGACCATCTGAACTGAGACACTTTGTACACCGGAAAATGGCAATGAGGAACCCAAACCCCACAAGCCATTTGGCTCCTGAGTCTGCCAAGAGTTTACTTGTACAAAGTTCCTTTGTGCTGGGGATTGGTGGCAGAAAATATAAACTCCAAAGACTAGTGGAAACCTCGGAAATGCCAGAGATTAAAGCCAGAAACTCTTATTAATATGTTGATGCTAGGAAAGGCACTGATTTTGCACATAATTTCTCTACTAACAAAAAACATACCACAAAGCCACATTAGGAAACAGTGGTTTTGCTGATTTGGCTTCTTTTTTTCTCCTCCCCCTGAGAACTGCTAGCACTGGCACTGGTTACCTGCCTCACCCAGGCAAGGCCTTCAGTCACGATGGGATTTGCGATCCACCTTGAGCAGGCAACCAGAAAGATGACCAGATTAGCAGTTTCTTATAAAAATACACATAAATGACAACTCCCACCATCTAACAATAAATATCCAGCCTGACAAGAAAAGGGTATTGTGATTCAAGCTTCTAGACACTGAAACAAGTTTCTGCTGGTTTCTTTTCTCATGAGGTTCTGCTCAGGGGCTGCAGGAAGGAGAAGAAAGCCGGCCCGGCAGGGACGAGAGTTGGCCATGCCCAGGCACTGCCATGCCAGTAGTTTTCCATCACCATTTATAAGGCTCAGTTCAGTGACTTTTCTCTGTCTATGGTGGTGGAACAGGTTTTTTTGCAGTTTTGATTTAAAAAAAACCAAACCCCACAAATTAACAAACAAAGACAGTGTGATGAAGCAGAAATCTCTATCCAGGCACACCCTCTCATTGAGGAAGGTAAATAAACAACTTTTCTCTATTTTCAGCTTTCATTCCTGGCATTCAAACTCCACCCATTGCACCAATCACCCCCAAAAGAATCAGCAGGTCTCCTGGCAGATATATAAAACCAGGACAAGTCAGGACAGCAAGGCATAGTGCGCTATACATCACTGGGTTCTTAATTTTGTCGAAGCAGAGGACTGTTAACAGGTGTCGGAAGCCACGATGTCGGGTAAAAGCTTCCAGGGATTGAAGGAACAGGCTGAAGGTACAGCAAAAGATGCTGGTAAGAAAGATTAAATATTGTTGTATATTTGGAAGGGGGCTCAGCTGCTGCTTTCGCTCAGAAAAAGCACAATCTGAAATTGTACTACTAGCTGCATCAGCGCTAGCACGACACAGCTTCTCCTTTTTGCTTCGCTTCCCGGTGGCCAAGTTTTGGCAGTCACCTGCAGAAGACCCCAGGCTGACCATGGCTCTCAGATGGGCACAGGCAGCTGCCTCCACCTGCCCACCCTCCAACCCCACTGCGGCTGCTGAGCATGGTCCAGTATTTATCACTCCCAAAACGTTAAACTTAGTGTTTATGGAGTGGTGAAGCCTTTTTTTTTGGTGAAAACAACCTTCTGTATTTAGCATTTGCATTGTTCAGAGTGGTCTTTTCATGTTCTGCAGTGGTTTTTCATAAGTTGGAGATAACCTTTGATTAATGTTTGCTACTTGGCCTATCAATGCCTTTTGGTAATAGTGACATTGATTGCAATAGATGGTTTGTAATACCTACACAAGTAAGTTTCTGTTGTGTTCTTCTCCAGCAGTGCTCACCAGAGTTTAAAAAGCCCTGAATGAACATTTCTGTCATAGCTATGCCTGGGTTGTAGGGCCAAGCACTGTTATCATTGATGCTGTGCATTGGAAACCAAATTTTCAATGCTAAGGGTAATAACTTTTCTTTTAAATGAGAAATTGTGGTATGTTATTTCTTATTTCAGAATTTGATAGTATGTTCCCTACAGTGTTTGTGTGCAGCTCATTCCTAGTAGCATGTGATTTTGTCAGCTATAGCCCTGGATTCTGATCCTGCAAACCCTTTGTTATATAGCTGAAATAATCTCGGTGATTTTTTTAAAGTTACAGTAAGTTTCCACATGTCTGGGGAAAAATGTGTAGTACATCTGTGAACATGACAATACACCTTTCTGACAAACAGAATAGTCCTTGCTGCATCCTGAATACATTCATACCATTGAGGGGGCATTTCTAGCAAAAGTGATAGGTGTCCTTCACTCTTTCATAAACAACCAGATTACAATTACAGAGCACCTCTCTTTTTTAATGCTTTATATTCTGGAGTTGATCTGTTATGTTTCTAAATTCTGCTCCAATTCTTTTAATTTGTAAAAATCTCCCTTCTCCTGTTCTGTTCTGTTTAGTGCATTTTCTTCCATTTTGGAATAGGCCCTACTCCCAAATGCCCCACAGAGAAAATGTGTGCTAGATGGCCAACCTTCCCCAAGCATAATAAGCTAGAAAAATCAATAAAAGCAGGTGTAATGCAAAATAAGCAGCTTGCAGCCAAATGTCATCATTCCAACTCAGTGCTAATCTTTGCTTCTTTATCTCCAGTTTATCTGCATTGATTTGCTCAGCTGACCATAGGAGCTAGGTGAACTCTAATCTCATAGCAAGCTGCTCTGGCAACACATAGTTCCCGGGGTGCCCACAAGTGAAGGGCACAAAAATGGGACACTGGGAAATTATTTATTTTTTTCCTTGATTACAGGAAGCGCGTTGGGGCAGGCCACGCAGGATGCAGTCAACCAGATTACAGATGCAAGCCAGAAAGGTAGGAGCAATGATGTTCAAATCCAGAAGTGATGGAGCAGCTCAACACAAGGCAGCAGCAGGCAGTACTCATTCCACTCTGTCTCATAGGTGTACTCAGCCTTAAAGTCCTTGGTTTCAGTGACCACTTTTGGCCTTTTATAAATCTTATGGGAAAGGATTTTGGGATGTGTTGCTTAGTAGCTCATGTACCATCAGACAGGAGCTGACCCTCCCTTGCCACTGAGTCTCATGCATGGCATTCAGATGATGGCTTCATTTTCATAAAATTCGTGGGAGCAATATGGACAAAACTTTGCTGACAATTAAGTAACCCTGTGTTACACCTTGCTGTCCCTCATGCCAGCCCTGAGGGCAGGGGTCTGTGCAGGTCCAGGCCTACATGGGATCCCAGGACCTGCTGAGGCAGCACTGGGGTCAAACACTACTGTTCCCACAGCTGGAAAGGTGTCATCAAGGAAGTGTTGGCATCCTGCTCCTGGAAATTGGGAACAACTTAAACTAAAAACCAAGCTCAATACATTTTTTAACAATTTAATAATTTTATAAGAAGGAAGGAAGAATTAGCAATTAAGGCGTTTAAAATGTTGCATGAAAGCCAAAATGCATTGGCAGTACCTCCTCAGAGCTGGCACTCTCTACAACTCCATGGATGGGACAAGAAGGGCAGCTTGGGCACCTGCTGACATTAGATGGGATGGCAGCAAAATTGTCAAAATCTTTTTTAAAGATAGATCACTAAATTTTTGTAGTCTAACCATTTTCACACCTGTCTTCCATCATAAATATTAAACCATGTTGCATTTGTCCAGCTTTCTGCTTATCTCTTTCTCTCTCTTTCAGCTATTGACAAGGCTTCCAAGATGGCACAGGATGGAGTAGAAAAAGCAACTGGACAAGCCGCAGAAGCAATGTCTGGATTTGGGAAAAAATGTGGATTTAAAAAATGATGCTAATTTAAGTCAACCTTATTGCATATATAAATCTCTCTTTGTTCTGCAATTCCCTACTCCTTTGTGTAGAAAAGTGAAAGCTGTTTGATATCTGGATACCTCTTTGATATCCTCTTGAAATGCAAAATTTTAAGGTGGAATACCCCTCTCATCCTTCACATAGAAAAAAATACGTATTTTAGCACATCTGCTCAACATCACCAACATGGCTCAAAGGGCTTCAGCAATGCTGAGTTGCCCTTCTCTTACAACAGTGCAATGATTATTGCCACATTTGCTGAGTGTATTTACAAAGCCAGCGAAACTCTTCACACTTCAGGAGACCAGAACATTCTTATGATGAAACCGAGTTTTCTTCCAGTAATCAAAAGTTAAGATGGGGTAATATTTCTTGTCAGTTGTTTGTTTGTTTATTCCCATCATCTGTATTTTTAGATTAAAAGAAATAAAGGGTGCTGTAAGATTTCCACCACAAAGAAATAAATCATCTCGTTATTTAATCTCATTCTTTTACTCCGGCTTTCGGTGAAGGATAGCACAATGTCCTGCAAATCTCTTTTGCTCTTTGATTCAAAGCCCAGTGAGGTCAGCAATCATCCTGTAAAGGGAGGTGAGTACTGAACCAATTTGCAGTCTGGCAGACAGATATATGGAAACAAGCAGCCCCATACCACAGAGGAACCTCATGGTTTCTGGGAGTGAGTGGCAGTTGTGGTGTCCACAACTTGTCCTTTCTCCTATGTGTCGCCCATCTAAATTTCTTGTTACCATTATGCACAACACATCTCCTGGTAAATCTCCTGGGGACAAAAACTGGCCACTTTATCCCAATGCTCGCTAGCAGCACTACTGCTAAAGATGACTGGTAGCACTGACATGAGAAAGACCACAGTGGGGTGCTCAGCTCATCCCTTCGGTCATGCCTGAGCTGCAGTTTCTGTGCAGTGCTTCAAGGCAGCTCAGGGAGAGAGCTGCTGCAAGAGAGCCCAGAGGGAAATCTTCATGCCTAGGAGATGGAAATATTTATTTTAGATTGCTGCTTGCTGGGCAATCAGAGGCTGCTGCAGCCAGACAGGATGCCCACTTAGTGCTGCCTCTGTCAACAAAAGGCACTAATACCCACTTATTTGCAGTAAGTGCTCTTACCTCGGCCTCTGGGTGTTTCTCATTGCTAGGCAATATTTCCTTTCTTTTTTTTCCCTCCTGGTTTGGAGCCTTGCCAGCTTGGTTTCAGTAAAAATCTAATTTGTGCCTTACAAAACAAAACCAAAGCGTGACCAAAGCCCTCTGGCTGCAGTGAAGTAGGGCAATCCAGGCCTGTTTGAGGTATTGCTGTCTTGCACCTCTTGACCAAGAGCTGTGGTTGACCAGGGCTTTTTGGAAGCTGGTCTTTGTAAATGTGGTCCTAGGAAAGATGAGAGACTGGCTCACTGCTCAACCTGAAGACCACCCTTGTTTGCAATCTGCAGAAGGACTGCACGGACTGAAAAGCCTTTACAGGACCCTATAATAGACCATCTGTGAGTAAACATAGTCCAGGGCTTTGCACAGAGTGTCCCTATGCAATGTCTCCTGTCATTTAAAGCTTTAAAAGCCTAAATATTTACCCAAGTACAAGCTCACAGAAAAAGCATTAGACTATTGCACTCTCAGTTACTGGGCAACCCTCAGTAGTACTTTATAATTTAGTACTTTTCATGGTTACCTCCCTGATGGTGAAATCTTCAGGGACTGAGCACTTTAGACTAGGCATTTCAGACACCAGTGCTGTGTTTGTGGGTGATAGTGGCCCATACACCACTCTCCATCACACCTTTTTTTCCATGCAGAGCACTGGTTAGCTCATAGTACAAAAAAATTGAACAGTTGTGGATATCTTCACCAGTAAAACCCATTATCCCCTTGCACGACTGATGATATTC